AATTGTTGTAATAGTAGTAAATAAACAGTAGTTTTAAAAAGGGAGAGTTACAGAAAAACAGAAGAAAGTAGATGGACAGCTACCTAAAGAGAGTATGAAGGGCAGGTAAAGGAAACATTTAAATCAAAAGGGAATTTGGCAAAGAAAACACCAAAAAGACTAAAGAATACTTTTAATGAAGTATAACTTAATTTATATTTTCTGAAAAGTAACTAATGAGAAACATAAGTATTTCAAAAGCACTCAAAGGGGCATATGATACAAGGCATATGCATTTTAATTTATTTTTTACCTCTAAGCCAAGAAATGCTTGCACACTATTTGTTCTATCAAGACAATCCAAGCAGTTTGTTCGAACAGTACCACTCTGGCATCTGTAACAAACTCAATAAAGTTAAACTGCTAGTTTAGAACAAAATTAAAGCTAAAACAAAGTAAGAATAATTGAAGTGATCGAAATGTAGTGCCCACTTTCCTCCTCCAATTTTTTATTGTTAAAATTTTCAAATATAAAAAAATTTTCAAATATACAAAAAAAGGTGAAAGAATTACACTATGAACATCCATACATTCACTATCCAGATACTACAACTGTTAACGCCACATATTCTTCATCACATACATATCACACACTTATTTTTAATTAGGCAAGTAGTTAGGAGCTAACTTTGCACAATAATCAAATATTTATGTAAGGAATTTTGAAAAATCTAAGATCTGTTATTTCCACTGACTAACCTATAAGATTTCTAAGGCATTGACACTATTATACGAATTGAAAAAATTAAAAATTTGAGCTTTGTTCACTGAAGTTTACCTCATCTGATATTCTGCACTTAAATCTTTCAGTATTTATTTTTCTTCTCTATGTTCTTCTCTATGTTACATGCAAAAACTAAACATTTAAATTATATTAAAGCAGACAGTAAGCAATTTCTTTTATTTTTATTTTCACTTAATAGTTTTCACTGAGGTCAAGAAACAGTAAAACATTAGTCTCAAAAGAGAAATGAAATAGTTTCATAGATAACAGCACGAGGTATGGCGCCAAATTCTAGCTCTAGTACTTCTAGTTAAGTGATCTCTAGCAGATTATAGCCTCTGCCTCAATTTTCTCAAATGTAAATGGGCATAATAGAACCTTTCCCTATAGTTGCTGTTGATACATGTAAAGACTAAGTACACTGACTGCCCCTTAACACGTGCTCAATCATGTAACCTCTTATTATTATTTGCTGAAAGAAAAACAAGCCTAAAATCAAGTATAAAAAAGATATTTAATAGTTTACCTTGCTCACTTAAAAGAAATAATCAACAGCATGAAGTAGAATAGAGAAAAATATTTACCTAGTTTACCTAAATACATATGGGAGTAACTAAATTTCTTTAATTTTTAGATTTGGTTTTATATGTTTAAGTAATTAAGGTCAAGAGATTATTAAAAAAAAGAAGAGCTGCTCTTAAATTGTCACAAAATAAATAAGTATAGCTTTGAATAAAGTCATGGCAGCTTTTATGTATAAAATCTGTATCAGTACTGTGTATAAGGAAGAACTACGGCAAACAGAGCATGCATGAATTTGAGGACCTTTGGGCTACCACAATCCCTTCATCACAGATAACAAAAGTGTTCAGAAAAGTTATTGATCTTTATCTTGTATGAATCACAGCCTTGAAAGCTGGCAGAGTCAAAGCAGTGTATAATCTAGTCTGTTTCTCATATTTGGAATCTAGTCACAGTCTATGCCTTGCATTTTTACGTAACTCCTTTCCATTTATGTTTTATTTTACCTTATCTATAAGTATGGCGATTATCCATAATTATAGAATTAAAAACTAAGGTAATATTTAAAAAACCTGAAACTGGGTTCATTTTATTAGGTACAGACTGACACCACAGCTGTTCTTTGCTAGCATGGGGAATAAAACAAAATGAGTCCCAGGGCCTCCTTTACCATCTAAACCTCTCTCTCTTCAAGGAATTGGGCAAAACTATTTTACTTCGCTATTAGTTTGGCTTTGTCTACCTTAGCAGTAAACTTTGTAACTATTCAACTAATTGTTATACTAGGAAGTATATTCATACCTAACCACCAACGGTGGAGAGTCAGCTAAGTCAGATCCTGAAAACTAACATCTGTTACACTTTTAATAAAGAGGTTCAAGTATTTCAATAAGCTTACTCTAAGAATACATGTAAATTTATTCAGCCACTTAAAACCAGAACTTGAAACAAATTTGAGGCATGTGATAAACTCCATCTAAATGACCAACATGCCTCCTTTCACTTTCTTGTTCCTGTCATAGTTTCTAAATAAATTACTATGATAAACCTAAATAACATTATTTCAAAAAAGTCCAAACAGTAAAATTCATTTAGTTATACAAAAAATACATTTCTGTAGTAGAGAATTTTACACACTGTACTTTCATTTTTGAGACAGAAAGAACCTCAGCTGCAAAGTCACTAATTAACCAATATTCTGGCCAAAATTTCAGATCATTAACTAGAGAAAATACGAACGTGTTACTTCCGATTCCTGTTTTTTATAATATTTGAGAACCATGCTAAGTTCATATCCACCACAGCCTCATGAGTCTAACTTGCATACTAGGGAAGATTCGGAAAGCTCAGCACTGCTGCACAGTTTGTCAAATAGTTGCAACTATGTTTATATCAGACTGAATTTGATGGAAAAGTGGTAAAGAAAAAAAACTTTTAAACAAAGACCTTATCACAGAAGTTGAATTCACTCATTTTCATTCTAATGATGGCATTTTAATCTGATTCTTGTTTTTTGTAGCTACTCATTTGAAAACACCAGACAAAC